TTAAATAGACAGCAATGTCACCATCATCTTCACTTATTACTTCGAACATGAAATATACAAAAATTGTGAAATTTACTTATATTACGTCAAAACATTGATCTTAGTTTAAACGCCAACTTTGACGTTTCAATTTTTCAGATAGTTTGAAATAAAATCAGACTTGAATTACTTTTGAAATGCACCTGTAACCACTAGGATGTTTTGTTTATCGCTAGGCTAGGACCACCCTGTCATGATTCACGAGTGCTACTCATATTTCGTAGAACGATACGTCGAACTGGGACACATAAGAATATTTGGTGATTAGCACCGCATTCTTTCATAGACATTCATTCGATACGTTTCATTTTATGTATTATTATTCTTAACACCGATTAAATTCGATTCTATATTAAAATCAGATTTATTTAATTTAAAATTAATTAACATAGTTTACACACCATCTTTTAATTAAACCCAGTTCATTTACTGAACTTAGTTTAAACTTTGATTGAAAAACTGGCCCTTATTGTGATTAGTCAACATTTTGAAAGATTGTTAATGGTTCACATTATCAGATAAGTTTACCAGTACAGACCTGTATTTTTAATTAATAATGTTTGGATTAGTAAATGCATAATAATCTGTATTTGAAATACTTAATAAATATTTGACCAACTTTTTTGTCACTAAAGGTTTACGAGATAGCAAGCAATATGTTTCAAATTTTACAATGAAAAAATAAAGGGACATTCTGTATACAAAATCTACTTTTTGGCCCTATATTTCACTACCAACTAGCTAAATATTGGAGAATGGCGAGGTGTGAATTTGTTTTCATATAGCAACCTCATCATCAAGCCTACAATGCCATGGAAACACCAAAAACGGTGTCCTTTTTTTCCACTGGACCTTATGATTTATAGGAAGTTTTGAAACTTTTATTTGTTATTATTAAGTTGTAATAAAGTGCGCAGAGACAACACTAATATAATTCATTTTTATCATATCATCCTATTAAAAAACCTATTTATATTGAATAAAAATATTTTAAACTCATTAAAAATAATGACATTTATTAATATGATAAATTCTATTATGCAATATTTTAGATAATTCAATTTATAAATCATGAATGATGAGTTGCTATCATACAAGAAATAGTATTGAAATTAAATTGTTTATTGCGGCTTGTAAATACGACGTCTAGTGTAAACACAAGTTACTACTCATCAACAGATACAATGTGACCGTTTTGTTTTTATATGATTAAGGGCCATTCGCAGGGATCACATAAAAGTATTCGTTAACTAAGCTTTAGATAAATTTAATGTGAAGTTTATAAAATGACGGTTCGCACAAACAGCTTTAAATCAGCGCTTTATTTAACGAATAAAATACTTGGCAACTATGAGATTTTCTTCTTTTTTATCATGACCCACGTATAAGATTGTTTTTC